TCATGTGCCTTTTCCCTCCGAATTCTAGAATGCGAGCCGCACGATCGGAACAATCAAGGGCCCAATTTTGTTCTTATTTCTCTCCCGGGCCTATGTTTTCACTTGATCCTTCCCCTATATATATATACTAGTTTTTGTATCGCGCGTTGCGCGAGTATCCTAGTGCCCAATGTTATATAAGGAGTATATATATATATAGGGTAATGTTAAGGTAAGGTAGGCCTAAGAATTGTAATTCTTAGCCCTCTTTCATTTGAGGTGCTTTCGGCTCGAATTTTTTGATGAAATTTTGTGAGCATGTTCTCCATGGATTGAAGATTATGTCCACCAAGATTCACAATAAAATTCAATCGGGAAGTCGTTTAAATAAATTATTGAAAATAACTGCATTTTATATATGTAAAAACCTGCACAATTTTGAAAAAAAAAATTTGACCGACTTTCCGAATGAATTTTATTCTGAAATTTGGTGGGTATAGTCAACACTTCATGACGAACATGCTTAAAAAATTTCATAAAAAAATATGTTCTGGAAGCAGCTCAAATGAAAGAGGCCTAAGAATTTCAATTCTTAGGCCTACCTTACTTGAACATTTTCCTATATATATATATAGAGTAGTCTTCATGTCAGGCCGGCCTGACGGGATGCTCCGTCCTGCCGAGGGCATTTCGGGCACTTCACGGTGGAATTTTTTGATGAAATTTTTTGAGCATGTTCTTTATAAAGTCTAGTTTATCCATACCGAATTTCAGCTAAAAATTCAATCGGGAAGGCACTCAAATAATTTCTTGAAGTTAACTGTAGTCTAATGCCTAGGTAGCCTATCCAGAGAATTTCGGTTGTAAGTTTACTGTTTTACACAAAATAACTGATAATATAAATACTGTTGTTAACTAAATCAAGGCAAACAAATGTAGACCACTAGACCATGTGTTTGAAAACAGTGATAACATTTTGAAAAAACCGAAGTACGAAGTATAAGCTAACAACATTATTTCTTCCACATCTGCAATAAGAAGACAGTAAGATTAGAAGAGACGTAAATTTAAAACCTTCATGAGCCATGCCATTCGCTCTTTAGTTGAAATACGGAAATCTTAAATTAAAAATCTAGTACTTATAATTAGAATAATGGTTGATTTATATTGATTGTAAATTTGGTAACAAACACATAAAAAGTGATATTTGATTTAAAGTCACGCATAACTGCTCATCGATCACTCGATTTCCGTAGTTTTACCGTCAATCACTCTGCCCCTAATTAACACTCTCAATATGGTCTTTTTGCTTTTGTAGATAAAAAAAAAACCTTAGCATTTTCTCCCATATTTCTAGTATCTCCCGGAATCCAAGCACTCTTTCATTTCCTAGCATTTCCCAGAATCCTAAAAACCGAAGCACAAAACCTGGGGATGTAAGGTCAAGAGTCTCCTAGTTGATGCTGGGAACATACTAATGAGGAGGGAGATGAACAAACTTCACTAAGAAATGGAGAAAACGGAATGGAAACATACCTAGACGGTTGGCGCCAGAAACGATCGATGGACATCTCAGTGAAGTTAGGGTGCGTATGGACCAGGCCAGCCGCTGAGAGAGGAAGAAATCGGAAGTCCGTTCAAGCTGACGATAACTGCACGGAAATGGAACGGCTGAGAGTGAGCAGAGACGGAAATAAACGGAAAATTAAGTTCCTTTAGTAGAGTACTGATCGTAAAACGTATTGTACAACCCTATTAAGCTAGTGATTACACCAACATTTTTTTTATTCCTTAAATGCCCTAACCTTCATTGACATATATAAGATTTTAAGATATATATATATATATATATATATATATTACTATAGATTTTAGTGAATGTTAGCCTCAGCTCACAACAAAGACATGAAATATCTGAATATTAAGAGTTGTTAGAGGGACATGATATACCTCATGAAATTCATTAGTTCTCCCCAACTTCTAAATGCTAAGCAACCTCAATGGCCCCTTCAAGGTTTCAACACCCTCTCTATGCAATAGCTTTTATGTGTAATGCTCTTGAAACTGGATTCTATTTATACTTCAATATACAGTGTGCCCTTAATAGTTATAAACAATTATCCAATGGTTAATACGGAGTAGTATGTAGTGTACCTTTTTTGATGACATGATGTTTGAATCGTACTGTAGGCTAATATTAACCACATATCTAATTTAAATAATATTTTGATCTGATTAATCGTACTACAAAATCTTCATACTCCCTCCGTCCCGAAAAGGTTCGTCAACTTTGACTTTCACGTGGATTAATAAAGTAAAAACTGTGTGATTGAAATTTGTGCAGAGGAGAGAAAATTAACTTTAACCACATATTTCTTACTTTAAATGGAAATGACAAATCTTTTTGGGACATCCAAAAAAGGAAATTTGGCAAACCTTTTTGGGACGGAGTAATTGATTTATATCTAATTTAAATAATATTTTGATCTGATTAATCGTACTACAAAATCTTCATAACTGATTTGTTTGTTTACTTGCCAGCTCAATAGCTCTTATTCAAAGAACAACTCCGTTGCATCTGGGTGTATGTGACACGCTTCATATTTAAAATTTCAAACCAAGTACCAAGCTATCCCATCAGCTGTGCAGAGCATTAAAGATATGGTCGATGCAATGAATCTCTTCTCTTGAACCGAGTTAAAGATCTGCAATAAGCCTTTATTGATCAATGAAACATTAAATATTTAAATGAGCTGTACTTTTACCCACCAAACAGCCTAGGTCCGACCCTGTGTACCTGACCCATTTTGGACCCATTTTAACAGGCCTGGCCCATTACTGCACAGTGTTTGGGCGGAACACTGTGCAGTTTTTATTTTGCCTTTGTATAATAAAAGATGTTGCACAGGTTTTGACGAAAAGATGAATCGAAGAAGACGAAACGTAGTAAAACATAAAACCTTTCGTTCTTCCACTAAGAAGCTGTTCTCTTCACCTGATCTAAATGTTTCTGATCTGAATTTATTAATTTCTGATCTGACCTGATCTGAATCTTTTTGATCTGATCTGAATCCTTCTGATCTGATCTGAATCTTCCTGATCTGATCTGATTTAAATATTTCTATAATTATAATTATAAATGTAATAATAAATATAATTTAAATATAATTATAATGAGTAAAGGGTCAATTTGGTCCTCGAAGTTGCAAAAAAGGGGTCAAATAAGTCCTTATATAGAAGATTTTGTCCGGACGTGCCATTTGAGGTGGCTCCCGGTAGAATTTTTTGATGAAATTTTTTGAGCATCTTATTCATTAAGTCTAGTTTACTCATACCAAATTTCAGCTAAAAATTCAATCGGGGAGACATTCAAATGAATTCTTGAAGATAACTGCGCTTTTAACGGCACAGTTATCTTCAAGAATTCATTTGAATGTCCTCCCAATTGAATTTTTATCTGCAATTTGGTATGAGTAAACTAGACTTAATGAATAAGATGCTCAAAAAAATTAATCAAAAAATTCCGACGGGAGCCACCTCAAATGGCACGTCCGGACAGAATTTTCTATATAAGGACTTATTTGACCCCTTTTTTGCAACTTCGAGGACCAAACTGACCCTTATCCCTAATTATAATTATAGTTATAATCATAAAAAAATATAATTATAATTATAATCATAATTATAATTAAAGCTAAAGTTATAATAATTATACTTATTACACTAATTATAATTATAGCTATAATTATAATTGCAATTTTATTTTTAATTATAATTATTTCTGTAATTATAAATGTAATTATAATATTTATTTCTATGATTATAAGTATAATTATAATTGTAATTATAATTATAATTAGTCTGTATAATAATGAAAATAAATAATAATAATAATAATAATAACAACAATAATATTAATAATAATAATAAAAATAATATTAATAATAATAAAGATAATAAAAATAATAATGATAATAGTAAAAATACTAATAATAGTAATGATAATAGTAATAATAGTGATAATAGAAATAATAGCAATAATAATAACATCAACAACAAAATAATAATAATAATCACCATAATAATAATCATAATAATAATCATAATAATCATAATCATAATCATAATAATAATAATAATAATAATTATATTATTATTAATATTTTATAATTATAAAAGTGATAAATCATGTTTGAAATTTTCTGATCTGATCTGATCTACTCTATTGAGTGGAGTTCATTTGACTTCTCATGATTAGCTTCATTACAATTATTAACTGTTTCAATTTACTCATATTATTAGGCTATTCAATTCTTCACAATTGATTTTTTTTTATATTTTCTGGTAGTTTTGCTCTTCAATTTTTTTATCAATAGATTTCAGTTTAAAATGGGAAATTCGAAGGGGTGCTTTTTTAAAACAAAATTGTTTTGTGCACATACACATCATGATCTTACTATGTTTTTTAAAGGTGTTCAATATCTGAATGTTTAATCTTAAACCAAACATGGCTTCATGATATTCTAGAGCAGAAAAGATCAAATGCTGATTGATCTAATCTTGGTTGTTGTGTGTATTGATCAGGTTGTTTTCGTTCTGGATTAATTAATTAATTGATTTATTGATCAAATATTGTTTCTCATGGGCGACACTTGTATATCAAGTTTCTTGGCTCCTTTGGCAAGTGTTTTTTAGAACTTCCCCCCTTTAGCATTGGATATCAACTTCCTTAGACGGAGTACATGAAAATCGGTGGACTTATTGTATAAATAGGACATAAAGTTCTATCCTATAGGTCAATTTAATAGGAAGAGTAACTCATGATTTTAATATAATATAACATTCTTTTAAATTTTACGAGTGTGAGAATTCAATACCCCTACTCACAACCTGACACTCTGTATGGATCATGCCATCATTCACTTTTTGATCGGTAGCCCTAGTGTGGTATTTATAATAAGGAATAAACAGAGTAATTACATAAGAGTCCTTATAATTACACTATTAGTTACTTCTGTCGGCTTGATCTCCCGACGCAAGACCAGTTCGTCGCTGTTTCGGTGTCATCACACGTTGCCGCCGCCGCCGTGTCGGCACCACAACATGTTGCCGCCGCCGTGTTGGCACCACAACATGTTGCCGCCGCAGACTGCATTGTTGGTGCCGCCAAACACCTCGCGCGGCCGCCGAACGCCGCCGAGGCCTCCTCCATTGCCGCCCGATCCTGTGTTATTGTCTCGTCGTCCGGTGACACCCATACCGCTTCCGGCGCCATCACTTTTGGTTCCACCATACCAAATCTTAGATGAGTGAATTGCCTAAATAGGACTAAAAGAAGGTCAAAAATCACAAATAGGAGTAGTATTAAAATTGTCAAAATAGGACTTTTTTTGTTATTTTACCAAAATGCCCTCGCCACCACCGCCCCCCTGCCGCCGCAAGCCACCGCCTAGATTCCGGAAGCCGTTCACCGGCCGCCTCTGCCGACGGCTGTCGCCGCCACCACCGGAGCTCCGCTTGGCCAAAAATTTCCAGATTTTCTTTTCCCCCAGACCGTATGCCACCGCCGCCACCACCGGGCTGCCCTGCAACCAACAGAATGCCTCGGTTGCCCAAGGGAACTAGGGGGCAATTAATTAATTTGATCAAGGGTATTAAAGGTAGAAAATTAATGTTTAATTATATTTGTGAAAGATTTAGATTTTAGTCATATTTGTTCAATTATGTTTCCATTTAGTCTTAAAGTTATCATGTTCAACATTATATGGTTATAATAAATTTCGGATCTTTTCCCTAACCAATTAAACAAAATTTTCCACTTGAAAGATTCAAATAAAAAGGTTAAGCAAGTAACAAGAGTAATTTTTATAGGTATATAAACATACATTTGTATACCTACACATTTTTGGCCTAGAAGGGTTTTTCATTTTTTGGGCCCCAATGGTTTTTTACTTATTCTGGGTCATACGTGTTTAGTCAAGGATTAAAGTGCCTATGCACAATTGCACAGTAATGCACTAATGCACACATAGAAAAGATGCTAATAAACGAAATAAAATTCTTAATGAATTCTACAATATAGAATACGTAGTAATAATTTTCACATGCTCAAATGCTTCAAAACGTTAGTGTCATTTATCAATATACTCTTCATTTGCAGAATACGAAAATGTTCTGAAACGGACGCCTCACTTACATTATTTTCAAGGAAAAATTGATTGTAATAATCCTAACTATTGGCGGTCCGCTGATAATAATCCCAACTATCGATTATTTCAGAATAATCCCAACTTTAGGGATCTTCCGCCAATAATGGTCCGACGTGACCGACTATAAATAAATTCCTATAGTATCTAAAAAGATATAACAGGTAATCCCTATAAATAATCCCAAATTTTAATTTTTACGCTTAATTTCTATTAAAAATTCACCTGTTATAGCAGGTAATATACGGTCATGGACCATTATTGGCGGACAGTCCATATAGTTGGGATTATACAAAAATAATTAATAGTTGAGATTAGTGTTAGTGGACTGACAATAATTGGGATTATTATTTTCAATTTTTCCTATTTTCAATACCTCACTATCAACCTCTGTTTATCAACGTGACTCATCCAGCTCTAAAATTTGAGTGAGAAGAAGAAATTTGAGTCGGTGGACTTCATTTTTGGAGTTTTTAACTAAAATAATGCTGAATAATAAAATATAGAAAAAATTAACAAGAATAATCCCACCTTTCACCGGTCTTCTCATAATAATTTCACCTTTACGTAATCCAAGTGATGGTACCATGGACTCTGACCATGGCCCAATTACATAATCCAGCCCATAACAGGATCAACCCTCTACGGGATTAGCCTAATTAACAGGATTAGCCCATCAACGGGATCAGCCCATCAATTGGGATCAAGGATAAATAGCCGCTGAGCCTAATTAGGAATCAGGCCCACGACAGGAACCCACAGCCAGGCCGGGCTGGACAGCAGACCTCGAGCCTGTGCGGAGTTCTAGTGAGGCCGAGATATTCCTAAGGTTTACGTGGCAGACAGGTATTCGACATAGCTATTTGGCAACAGGCAAGACTCGTCCGGAGTTTAGAAACAAGAATGAGACAATTAATGCTTGACGTCCAAGGCATGAGAGGAGTTCTATTTCGAGTAAGAATATAGTTCATTAATTAGGATTGATTGTATTAGATTCCTCCAAAAATAATAACTCCTAAAGTCTATAAATACTTCTTGTAAACACCCTACCAAGGGATCGGATCCACGACCGGTCTTCGGAATAAGAGAATATTGCCTTACGCTGCCATATTCTTTCATACTTTTCATACGTTTCTCATACCTTTTTGGTAGATTTAGCTTTCGTAATTGGATTAAACTTCATCATTTGGTGCTCTCATTGAGAGAAGAATCTACAAGAAACAATGGTTGGGTCAAACAGTCACAACCGTGCTGGTAGCAATCAAGGCGGGTATCGGTATAACCAAGTTGTGATCGAGGACGAAGGCTCGAGGTCACGACGCAGCGATTTCCGAAGGCGTAATGACAATATCGCCGCGCAGGGTGATTTAAGAAACCAAATTCAAGGCGTGGGGAATTCTGGGCGGACGGCGGCGCGGCTACCGCAATTCCAAACGTCGGGCACTGGACATGACATCCCCAACGTGGATCCAGCTCAAGCTTTGGCGAGTTTAGCTACGTTTCAAAGGGCGGTGGAAACTTTGACGACTGCGTTCCAAGGTATCATTCCTGATCTTAATGGGAGACCTCCTTCCTCTCGACGGGCTCCATCTATGATCCCGCGAGAAGGAGAAAACTCCCCTCAACGTAAGAGGAACTCACCACCAGCCCGATATCAACGCTCCCATCGATCCGGAGCAACCCCGAGGATCCCGTTGATGAATCGGATAATTGGACAAAGAGTTTCTGTCCATGAAAGGCTCTCTTAAAAGGCGGAGGGGTGCAATGAGGCTTACGCAATATTGCATACCCAGTAAGGCGTTGAGAGGCGTGCACAATAGGAGTTCAGGGTGTAAGGGTTTTATTTGGACTCACTCGACCCACTGCTTAATTTATAATTAGCATATTCTGTGTTTATGATCCCTATTTCAAACTACTATATAGTGATAATTTGATTTTGCCGCCATCAATCTAATAATCTTAAAATTTTAATATGTTAAGAATTTTGTTATGATAACAGTTCAGGAGTTTTGTGATACTTTGAACATTTTACTTTGCAAGGATTATGCTCTCATTATAATTTGTTTTAATATGGTATTTGATAACTTTTGGTGAGTAAGTCATTTTATTTTTATCGTGTTTATCTGTACATGTGTGTGTGTATTACGTTTATGGCGGTCTGGCATATGCCTCATTGCGCAATAAGACTTACACAATATGCAATTTTTAAAAAACGCCATGATCACGCAATATGTGATTTTAAACCTTGGTTATATTTTAATTTTGTTAGCCGACCCCACTCTTTTGCGACTAACCTCAGATGTTGTTGTATGAAGCTATAGCTCTGTTGAAGCCTGTTTGATCAACATAGCATCATTCTGAGTCACGCATTTAGAATTTAAATCTATTGCATTGGATTTAAATTACTCCTTTGTTTTTTTTGAATACTTGTCATTATGTTTTATGATTCTTCTTCTTTCATTTATTGATTCACATTCGTTTGGACTGACATTTATCTTGTAGATTTGTCATATACCACTCTTTTTTATAAGATACACACCAAAAGGTACTTTATCACAAGTGACAACATTAGAATTATTAGTAATACAACAAAGTGTGTATGGAAATCTACACTTTACACAGCCTATGCATCAAAGAGGGAACACTAAAAGGAGAATTTTCCCGATGTTAAATCAAAAGTATGAAGAGGTGTTGTATGTTTCTGAAGAAGAATTATGCTTGCTTGTGTCTATTTCTAGCTACACATATTTACTAAAATTCCATTAGTAAGATTCTTGTCTCTTACTCTCTTCTGTGTGTAATTGCATATCTATTTTCAAGCTGTATTTGTTTTTTTGTTTGTTAAAAGTGATTGGTCTTTGCTATTTTTAGATTGCACTTGAGGAGTTGGGAGAACGGGTAAATGGCGACATGCGCATGGCACTGAACCAATTACAGTATCTGTCTCTTTCCGAGTCTGTAATCAGCTATGATGATATAGGCCAGCGCCTCCAAACTAGCTAGCTCAAAGGATGAAGACATGTCACCTTTTACAGCAGTTGATAAGTGTGGATTCTTCAATATTGGCAATTAGTTCATTTATATGTAATGGTATAGTGGGCAATATATCTCGTCAAAATCCTTGATCATGTGTGTGGGTCTTATTAGCAAAAAGCTTTCTCATATGTTATGTGATTTAACTGATGTTAATTATGCCATTCCTATGTTATATTTTGTAATAAAGGCACTAGAGTATTGGAATCAAAGACGGGGATGCCGGATCATTTATTCTGCGCCTATACTGCTTAGGAACAGAATTGTTGCCGTCGTCCATAGTTCCGTGGTTGGTTGTCTTGGCGATAGGCTCACCCATTTGTTTCGTCGCACAGCAAAACAAAAACGCAGGTCTCAGAGAACGTGTGGCTCTGATACCATGAGAAAAGGAACGTGCTAGACAATTGGGAATTAGAATTGCTTTTCATATTATCGTCTTGCCTCTTCGTACAAAGAAAGGGTCAAATATATACACCTTAATACATGTCCAGAAAAGGTAAGGATCTCATGAATTAATCATGGTCCACTAACGCACACACAAATAAGGTAAAGAATATTATGCATGTGTCCGTTATGCATGGCTTCTTTCCATATGGTGATGAGGACCGCACAGGAAAAAACTCAAGATTATGGGACAATGTTATCTTAGTGTATTAAGTTTCACATTTTATTTCAAAAACTAGCAAACCAGTCGGTTGCAAAAGATAAGTTTAATAAACCAGATTAGGATTTAACCTTGTTTTTTTCTGAACTTAGAATCGTGTGCGGCTATTGCAAGTTGCATCTATTGCTGCTAGAATACTGAATAAAAGTATGGCAACGCAAATAGCTAGGCTGAAATTGTATTACCATATTGATATATTGTATATCGATATATTTGTTCTCCATATTAACAGAGGATGTAAACTGGTTAACTAGTTTACTACCCTCCTAACGTAAAGTATTTTACATGGTACAGTGTAAAATATTTTTTAAAAAGTGACCTACAGTTTATATTTAATAGTTAAAACAAACGGTGTAAAATGTTTACTCCCCCACACTTTGCATGCAAAGTGTTTACTTTACATCATAACAAACGGGCCCTTTGTTTATTTAAAAAAGTAGACATCGTTTGGTGGATTGCTTTCCATTGATTTTTTTTGATAGATTTTAGGAGCCTCTTTCGTAACAATGCACTAATTAAATCGACTGATCCTGCCGAAATTTTTGAAGTTGTGGTTGAAGTGACTAGATTGACTGATTCTGCTGGTTTATGAAAAAATTGTATTTAAAATATTTTTATTAATAAAATAAATAAAAATATATATATGAAAAAATAGTTAAAATGATCTTCTACAGTAAGTTTAGTCAATATAGCCATAAAAGTAACATCAATCTTACTT